TTAATCCATGATATGACAAGATTGACACTTGGCAGAAGGTCAAAGATTCAAAAAAGGAAGAGGGAAATTGTTGAAAATAGATAGTTTTGTTCAAACAAACACTACAAAGCAAATTTGAAGTATCGGAACTTGGAGAAAGTGATCTCACCTTATACCTCAAGGCTGAAATCCTTTGCATCCCAGTAGATATGTTCATGACATAGAGAAACTATGCACAAGAGGTCATTAAGCAATATGGACTGGAAGGGTGCCAAATGATTGCTACATCTATAGTAGAACACATTTAACTAATTCCAAAAATGCATGAGGACACAATAGACCCCACATACTACAAAGGCATGATTGGGAAACTAATACAACTTAATCATACCCAACCAGATCTATCCTACTGATCCTGCAGATTCATGCAACGACCACAGGTGCTTCAACCAAATTATCCATCTGATCTCAACATACCCAAACCTGTTATCATATACTGGGACAAGGGAGCATCAAGATGGCCACAAATCCTGACATCAATCCTCGAACAAAATACATTTCCATACACCATCACTTCACTTGAGAAGGTAGAAAATAGAGAAATTTGACTGAAATATGTGCCTTCCCTGGACCAGAAAGCTGATATATTTACCAAGCCTTAAGGACGTGGTTTGTTCAAAAAAAATTGAACTAAACTCAACATTGTCTCACTAGTTGCGGCCTAGTCACTGACTTCATCGACATAAAATCAGAGATCGACACCTTCAACACCACTTATTCTCCAAACTATTCTTTTAACCTCCAAATCTGTCAACAAAACCTGCCTTCTTTTCTACTCTAAAACAAGTTCATAGTAATATGCGTCAATCATCTCATTCCATTTAGGAGTTACAAAAAAGGAGATCTGGCCGTCTGACTCTTCTGTGCTCACTACCTTAGATCTACTTCGTTCAGCTTCAATTTTCCAATGTCTCCATTCTCCAGCCACTCTTCTCAATACTTGCAGCAATCGGAATACATTGCCACTAGCCTCTAGTTGCTAAAGCAATCGTGGCAATATCACCCTTTGTTTGATCTCCGAAGGCAACCCAAAAAAATACTCTGCCGCATCCTTGACCTGCTCTAGACTCTCTTGAAGAACATCCTCCTCAATTACAAAAACCCTTACCTCTTTCTTAATTTCTCTCGCTATCTCTAATTCAGGAGAAGTTGCCTATTCAGTAAAAACCCAATCTGCAGCACCTCTGTACTACGAAGACCTAGAACTGAACCTACTCGAAGGAAAAACAGCATCATAATATGCTCCTTCATACCTTGAGTCCCTCGGAAGCGAAGCATCTCAAAAATGACAAAATACATCCTCTCCCGGCCAACTGTCCTCTAGCGACTCCTACAATAAATTTGACACATTGTGGAAGAACACACTGTTGTGGGAATCTGCCACCATCTTCTTCTCCAAATTTTGAAGAATCAAACTCTCTAGCCCTACACAACTCCAACGTACACTACAGGCATTTTCTTCAAGGAAAAACATTGTTTCTATCTAACAGATCTGCAATTTTGAAGGAAACGTGTAAATTATCAAATGCACAGTTAGAAGGAGTGTCACATGAAAAATATTTAGATCCACCCTCAGCGCCTAATGAAGTTTCTCTTCCATTACTGTATGATATGTGCCTGTCCAAGGATATGATCGCAAAGGTCACCACCATCAACCAACAGAAGACATCATAAACAATATACCTCGCCGTTTGTAGGAAAAAACTTGTCGTTGCTATTGACAAAATTAAAAACACTAACTTCATAATTTTTATTTCCAAATGTCTACGCTGTTTTAGGTTTTACAGACAGAGCCGCACATTTCTTATCGATCTCCTCCATTATGGCAATTTTGCAGTGAGGGAGGGTACTTGGACAATCATCCCTGCTCCATCATCCTTCTATTATTTACACTAGTACCTAGATCTACAAAACCCTGATATCAGATCCACTTATCGCGGACATAAGTGGATCTCATTAGAGAGTGATTCTTATGTACTTATACCAGCACAGGTCGATGTTCAGATATTTAGTTTAGAATAGAGTTTAAAGAATCTTAGATTAACTTAATAATAGTTAAACTTATTATGTTATAAATTAGAATAATTGAAGGAATTTTGTACTTTTTTAACTATTATTAACTAAGTATCTTAATTTGAATATGTTAATTATTATATCAATAATAAAACTAAATACAAAACAAAAATAAAATATCTTTAATTTAAGGTTTTAATAGTTAGATGTATTAAACAACAATTTCTTTTTTTGTAAGAATAAAAATACTTATTTATATTATTTATATATACATGTAATAAAATATTTTTAAAAATAAAATATAAATAAATTAAATTGACCATATGATATTGTAACAAACGTGTTTATTATTAAAATAAAATGAGCTTAATAGAAATAAATAAAAGTAGATAAATCTAAAAAAAATCTTATAAAAAAGCTTCTTAGAAGTATTATAGATGCAGATTTGTCTTTCCAAGCATTTGTAGGTGATTTGTATGTTAAAAACTTGGCCAACAAGTTAGTTGCATGTCATATATATTGGCCAATTATTGTACAAGTTAGCCATATGGCACATATATAGAAAAATTGTCGTATAGGTTAGACACATGTCATGTAACTTGGATATATGTTGGATGACTTGTAGAACATTGCCACATAGCTATTGAATTACATAGTATATATAGAAGCAAAAATGAGGGCCTTTTTACTCTTCTCAATTCTTTTCTTGCTTCTAATCTAATTTGAAGGGTTTGTAGCTTTCTTATCCTTGGCAATATTCATTCTAGTTTCTTTTTGAATATACATACTTACTCATTTGATTTATGTCATCTTTCTTTGAAAAAGATAACTTAATTAATTACATTCATTTAGTTATTTTTTTTAACAAATATTCATTATATATATATATATATATATAGATATATATTTATAAAAAATAATTTTATTTAATTAATATATAGTAGATAATTCTGCTATACTTATTACAATAAGTATAGCAGATACTTTAATTCAATTTTAATTCAAAATAATAAGTTTTTTTATAAACTATAATTTAATAATGGCATTATAGATTGTTAATCTAAATTATAAACATTGTTCAAAGTGGTATAATTTAAATTCTTGTAAATTTTTCAGTAATACAACTAAATTGATGAATATGAATATTATCTTATACTTAGTAATTAAATAATGTTTATAATACAATTATAATTATTAATTTAATAATTAATTATAATATATATTATTAATTAAATTTTATAATTAAAAAATATGTATTAATAAGCTTGTAATTAATTTGGACTTATTAGTATATCTTTAATCATTATTTTTTTTCATTGTATCTTTATTATGATTCTTCTACTACCATGCTCTTATTTTTTGTAATAAGTCTAATCTTATATTTTATACTTCTTACTATTTCATGTTAATTTTTTTCTAGATTATTTTATTTATATAATCTTTTTTTTTATATAGTTTATAGATTTTTAGATTGTATCTATATTATTTCTTAGTATTTACAAAAAAATTAATCTTATACTTATTCTTTATTATATTTTTATATTTTTTACTATAAAGATTTAAATAAATAATTAAATTTTCCAATTTTTTTATCTGTAAGTTTAATTTCTTAAATTTCATTCTTGCTATTTTCTTTTTTTTCTTTTTTTTAATTTTTATTCTAATAAAATAAGAGCTTTCTACCTCCTTTACACTCTTTATATCAAAACCATATCTTTAATGTTTTTTTTTTCTCCACCTGAATTTTTATATTATTAGTGTTAATTGCACCTTATACCAACTTATATTCTTAGTTATCACCTACAAGTATCTAGTTGCTAGTACAACAATGAATAATGAGATTTCAACACACTTTGCCACATGTCAAGAGAAATCAATTTTACAGATTAAAAATTGCATAAAAAAAATGCTATAAAAATACAATTAATTTCTATAATTTTAGTAATAATACAATAAATTCAACTATTTTTCTTCAGTTATCAAGTTAAATAGGTATTAATAAAATAGATAACAAGTTTTACAATGTATAATTGTCTTTAATAAAGGTGGCATCAACTTTATATTAAAAAATTGTCAACTATTTAAATTTTTAATAAGTATTTTTGATTTTGAGAGAATTATAAATATATAAATCATATATATATATATATATATATATATATGTGTGTGTGTGTGTATTTATTATTTTTATAAAAAATTGTTTGCCATTGATGATACTCTTATATCTGCAAATTGCTTCTTAATTTTAAAAAGTTACACTGTTGAACAATTTGTACATTTAATTTTTATTTTGTAGGCTCATAATTTTTTATAGTCGAATATTTTTGGTCTACTTTATTTGCAAATAAGAAAATATTTTTCATTTTCAATGCTATTTGTCAATACTATTCACACAAAAATATAGGTTTACCATAATCTTAAATTTTGACTTTCCTATTCATTCTATTCAAAAAATATAACATAAATTATACAGGTCTACATGTTATGTATGCTTTGGAAAAAGATAATTTTTTTAAGTTAGATATGTTTGAAAGGAAAACCTCAGTATAAATTTAATTCCCATACCTTTTCGAAAAGATAAATTTGGTAGGACCAGAACAAGGACATTACATTTTTGACTTTATACAGGTTTTGTGTAACTTGAAGATAGAAACGAAATTTTAAATATAGATATAACCTCAATTTTATGGTATCAATGGAAAGTTTACAATTCAAGGTTATAACTCACACAAATCTTAGTTAGTTTTCTTTGAATTGTTTTTTCCCATAAATGCACCTCACAATGAATATAATACATTCAACCATCCTCACATGAGAAAACAAATCAACTACCACATCAAAATATGTTATTCTTAACAACCCTTCTGCATTTGAATTCACAGCAGCCCAATGCTTGTTGCATTAACGTTTTACAAAAAAAATGGGCACAACGAAGAAAAAAGCAATTCATCCTGCAATTCGAAACATTGAAAGGTATTGAAATTAAAAGTGCAAGTTTACTGTACATGATGATGGGTAAGGAAGATGCTAAGGTGGGATCTGCTATTACTGGTTTTCAGTTTTATCTTGACTTCAAGCTGCTCATGCTACAAGAGCCATCAGTCGAATTCATTGCATATGGCATGATGAAGAGTGCCATCAAAACTTCTGAAGAAATCCGATGCAACTCATACAACTCTAAACAAATTTCTGTACAAAATCTCCAGGTAACACAATTCGTCGGCCGACTTTGAGTAAAACTACCTAATCCATGAAATCTCAGCGTGTAGAAAACAATCTCAAACCTGTACATGGTGTGAAAGATGCATGGCTCTGAGCCACGCCTCACCACTAAGTGCTGTGATTCACTCCGATGAGGCTAAGGAATGCCGGCGGTGGAGACACAAGATCCACACCTACTCTCATGGAGGAAGAGGGACTCATTGCCTAGCCAACGATGACGTAGATGGCGTAGATGATCCCGGGCAAGTAACCCAGGATTGTCAGCACGAGACAAATCCAGAACTCACTCTGCACAATTGCAACAAAACATGTGCAACGATGAGACACCATGGTGTATCGTCTCCTCAACCCAATAACTTCATCGCTTGACTATCTTCGGAATTGACAGGATGTTTGACGAGTTGAACGATTGCATCAAGTTAGTTGGTGGACCCAGAAATGGAGTGCACTCACCTGAAGGCCATACTTGAGGAAGACCCCCAACGGCGGCAAGATGATGGCCAACAGCACATCAACGAACGTGTAAGCGCCTCGTGAACCGATCGGCATCTTCGCAAAATGCTCGGGGCTGCGAAGGGAGAAAAAGGTGATCCTCCTTCTCTGGATATGTCGACGGCGAAACAAGCAGAGCACTGGACAATGCAGCAGGGGCAAAGGACACACCCGGAATGGCGCAAATATGAAGGCAGGGAAGTGGGTCTGAGAGAAGAGATTCTGCTGCGATGGAGTGGAAGCTTTATCTCCTGATCTGGACCCCAAAGCACGTCTGACAAATTCATGGTTTGTCGTCAAGTGCCTCGTTGCGCTGGCCATGCAAATGCGAATAGCGAACAGGTGTAGGCCTCTGGAGCTGCCAAGTAGCATGTGCTAATTTCGCAGCACGTCATTCATGAAGCAGCAGTTGGGCGACATTATCAGTTCAGGAAATTCCCTCCTTTTGCATCGAGAAAACAGAATCCTTTGAACACAACTTACATTCAGGGTTTTATCTATATTCATGTTGGTGGCAGTCATCGATTGAACCACACTTTCATTTAGGAATTACTTCAAAATTTCATGCATAGGACTAAATAGATAGATGGGAGACTAGCCTAGAAATTATTTATTTATTTATTTACGTGTCAGCAAAGTCAGATATCCAAGTGCGAACTCGTGAACGAATTCTCGTCAACAACCACCAAGATGACACGGTGCATTACCGGTCGATAGTTATGCCATGAAGAGCGAACAGTGTCCGCACAGTATTCATACACTGTACATTGATCTAAGCTTGAGCAAGTTGCATAAATTCCTAGCGGAACAACACTGCCATCACACTGGTCTTCCAGTCTTGACCTCGCCACGTATTTCGGTTGTTCAAGAATGCAACCTACTTTTTCTGGACAGTCGAAATAAGTTACACAACAGATATCCTTCCTTTAGATCACGGAGGACGGGTATATTATTGTAACAGAATCGCTTCAGGGTAATTCACCTGATGTTTCAATTTCTGCATACCAAATCGTCAAGTCAACTCATAGATCATAAGAAAGAGATATAATACAAAAATACTAGGTTTGACCACGGAACTTCAATCGAGGATATGGACAAACTACGATCTCCCCAGCAGTAGCCATAGCATCAACAGCATCAGGCATCTCCTCGGAAGCAGAAAAACAGAACAAAACAAAATCTCAAGCATATCCGGTGTCTTTCTTTCGCTATCAGTGGGGAATATTGGATTCGAAGAAATGAGATTTCCTCGTTCCACGATTAACACCTTCAAGGGACTGAAAGAAGTCAATTGAAACTCAAAAATGCCAACATATGATACAAGTGGTGTTTCCGTCAGCTACAGAGACCACCCACTAGACCAACTGTACACGGACAGTGTGCAACCCAGTAAGAAGAGTCATTGGAAATATTTATGCAGGGTTGTCACGTAAAGCTTATTCTAGGAAATTGTGGGGGGTTATAGGTCGTAGCGTAAGAGTCTAGCATGGGGGCTGGAGGCCACCGTGTATTTGATCTTTGCGGCACAACCCTGCATGGCATACCGCAGTCTACTTCTGGAGCATACAAAACAAATTCAGGATCCTGTTCAGGTACTGTTTCTACCACTGGGGCGAGATTGAGAGATGCTCTGCTCACTCGCACAGCAATCTGTTCATTAGAGTTAGTTTCAGATGACTGAACATCCGGCTTCAGAATCGGCGACGTGCTGCAGTTGTCATTGCCTCTGCCTTTGATTTCCTCCATAGCCACCAGCCACTCGAAGCTCTTCACCCTCAGGATCTCGGATTTGCACAACCAGGTATTGAAAGACACACTCCCTCTCTTTCTCGTCTCTTCAGGAATCTTGGGCGACTTTCTCGTAGTTAGAGAGGGGAAACATGGCGAACTTGGCGCAGCCGGCGCCGATCTCCGCGGCGTGCTGTGGGAATTCATATTGTATGAATCAGCGCTATGATTGTCACTTCCTGAGCTTCCGCTTCTAAAATCCTGAGCTTGAGATGACTTTAGTTGCCTTGACCTGTTCACATCCATGTGCACGAGACATCGTTTCCGTCCCATCTGAGGTAGAGCGTTACACACAAGACCATTTTCTAACATTACCCCGCACCTGTCCACGGGAATGATTATTTTAGTAAATTCGCAGTGCTTTACAGACTTCCCGCCCAAGATCATTAAATGAGGACTCTTTATTAGTAGCAGAAAAGGACCGCGGCCTGCCCCTCTCTGGCCTGGCCTCCTCCGCGTCCTGCCCTCTGCAGGTTTGTACGCGCCCAAGATTTTGATGCCCACTAACTTTCTTTTGAATATGAGACGAGCCCATCTAGAACTATTAATGGAACAGCACGATGTGCTGTGACGCCGTTTTCCTAGCACGATCTTCTCAATGATGTCTTGAGACCGCACCTCAGAGTTCCTGCCCCGATTCCAAGCATAATCAAATGCATCTGCAAGTTCTGATACCACGAACTCAGCCAACTCTATCGTCGTAGTCTGCACAACACGGTAAATTACACTTTCAAATTAGTCCATACATAGGAGTCTGAATACTTAAGAAAACAGAGATCCAACAGGGATACCAGATTCATGTTGTAAAATGAAGATCAATAGTAAAGTCTCTTACCGAAGACCACCGATAAGCTATGGAGCACCCCAATGCGAAAACCTCGGAAAAAAGACGAGGCCCCCGCGGCGATCCTCTTCCACTGGAATGGGCTGGAGACACAGATCCTCCCACGGGAATGTGTCGATTGGGGGTGCTCAATTGCTTCTCTGTCGTACTTTTCCTGCTAATACTGATGCTTGAATATCTGTCGCCGTCGACTCTGTACTTCAGCTTACTCATTATAGGTTCCTCATCGTTGCTCGTGTGTCTGTCATCACCGTGTGCAGAATTGGTCTTCGAGCTCCTGCTTGGTGTCGACAAATTCGGGGACTGAGATGGTGTGGAAAAATTCGAGAAGTTCGGGGATCTGCAGGTGGACACCAAATCGAATCCCGCGATAACATGAAGCAAACGGACCATTTGAGATTAACGACCACTCTATGACTCGCGCACACGTACACACACACACGCCCGGTGAAAAACCATTACAAAACTGGGTTGCAATGTCTGACCTCAATCCTTCAAGGTGTGCGCCAGCTTGCCCATAACGCTGCAGTCTGTTGCGGATGTGATCAGCGTGGCCAACGTAAACAACAATGATGTCTTCAGATTTAAGGCTACCGGTCTCAGTGAGAAGATCCTCTGTCTTCCAGGCAGGAAGAGTAATTCCTAACTCATAAATCCCAGCTCCTGCGTGAGGGCTGGGCAGATTGCGGTAACGGAATCGATCACCTCCATTTCGGCCTGCGGCTTGCTCCTTCCAATCGGACGGAGCCACCAGTACCTGAAAACATATTCAATTCGGGCGCAGCCACATCAGTGAACTGCAAAAGATATTTACAGCTAGCTCAAATCCTCTCGACCTGTTGTTCCAGAATTCAAGGATATCAACAGCCAATAACCCACCACAGCACACAATGTGTGCTTACCTTCCACTCGGAAAAGTATTTGTCGTGCTTCACAGAATCGAAATCCTCTCGTCTCCACCGCAGCGCCATGCCGCTAGCATGACCCACCCTCCCAGAACTCTTCCTCAACCCGTTCATTCAACACACAAATTCTCCCCGCCTTACTCCCCCAAACCTCCGCGTACCATAAATATTACCACCACGTCTCCCATGTCCACCCGAGAACTCACAGCCTACAAATACGAGCTTCATTACCCAACATCTCGCGTACACACACCATCATCATGATCGATCAAACCATCCCCAACCTCAGCCACCTTCGCAAACTTCACACCTTGGACAACATTCTACTCACCGAAGCCTCAACCTCTTCACGCCCTGTGCAGCTCTTTCCCAGCTCCTCGGTACAGCCGCATGCCGCAACTTATTCGCATGACCTCGCGTCTCCAAATTCAAAGACCAACTGCAACTGTTCCTGTGCTTTCACGGCTCCTGAATTCCATCGAACAATCCATGTTCACCGCCTCTTGACCTTAACCGCCACCTTCGAGAATTCCTTCACTGCAAGCTAATGATTCGAAAAGACAAGCTTAGAAGGAACCAGGTGAGACAGAATACCATTCAATCTAAAGCCAGCACTCGTGCAAGATGACGATTGGTTGTAGATAGACGTCAGCGAGTATTGGAAGTTCATCTAATTCCGCAAATCAGCCGGTTCCCAAACAACCCAGAACTCTTTGGCTTGCACGCAGTCCCACGGATAACCAGCAAGGCTGAGTGTACTTTTTCTCAATGCGAGAGCGGAGGAGAATGAGGCAAAGGGATTACTGGAGATACAAGGAATTGATTGAGACCTTTTGCACCACATTATACTCACCTACCCCAAGTGCCATAGCCCCTTACTTATGATCTCCATTATAAAGATGCATACGACATAGGAAGGATTTTGCCGAAATCTCTGCGCAGATGTGACCCCGTAAACGACATCCATGTACGAAACACTTGGGTATAAGCTTGCCAGGTGCTCTTTGATAGCTGTAATGAATTCAGGGGGAGTAGGTTGTCATTGAGTCCAGCTTTATTCCAGTCTTCAATCCGAATGCTTCCCACGCTGCTTGTCGAAACCCTGGAACAATGAAGCCCTGGTCTCAACGCCCCCATTGAGCTCTCCGGTGCCCACATCCTGTCCACAATCGTCGCCTCGCGCGAGATGCAAAGAACGTCGCTTTTTCATTACCACGACAGCTTTTTCATAAGGGGGGTCCAATGGGGCCGAGCCGAGCAGAGCGGCGTCGAGCTGGGCTGAGCTGAAGGGCAGTGATTAGCTCGCTCGGTGCATTTTACTGCCCTGCTCCATAGCGAAAGCGCCGTTCCATTATTCCATTGGGCAGCCCCACCTGTCGCCGCCTCTGGAATCTCGGGCCTGACACCAGGTTGACTGCGAGGTCGGTCAAAATGACCTGGGCGGTAGGCTGAGACCGGGGGAACAGTGAGATCATGATGTTGATAAATGAATTAAAGACAACATTCGTAGAATTTGGATGTAGAGTCAGTCACCTTGTCTCATTCGTCACTAGAGGCCACCTCCCTCTTCGTTGACCCCTTCGCTTCCGTTTGATGCTTCGTACAAGGGAATCACACTCTTAATTAACCCTATCTATCTATCTAGATATCTATCTATGTATATATGTATAGATATATATAGATATATATATATATTTAGATATGTATCTCTCTCTTTCTATCTATTCATTTCATGTCAATGTTTTTAAAAAGCATTTAGACTTTCTACGTTTCCTAAGATTACCTTACACCTACATGTGCGTGTGTATATATATACACACACATACCTCCAACTATTTGCAATTTTCAAATTGTTTTCATACAATTGACCTTCGCAGCGTGTATGTAAAAGAGAATTGAAACTACTAGTGTAAAGATTGTGTGATTCTATTTGGGTATAATGATCTCTCAATAATGAAATAAAAATAAAACATTTGAAATGAAATGCGGTTTGTAGGTAATAATCACTGCTTAATAATATACAACATTTTTATTTTTTTTTCTGTCAAGCATGATCATTGGATCTTTCTCTAACATCATCCATTTGGATATTTTTCTGGTGAAATTTTTTAATGTCAGACTTCAAGAGTTGTTGAACTAAATCTCAGACGATGCCAAGATCTAGTTATGCTTAAGTTGTTTATTAATAGATTCCAAGTTTTTTTTGTTCAACAAAAAACTAACTGATACTGTGTTGTTTTTGTCTTTGCATGATTGTCCTTTTCTTAACATCTAGCCTTAGTCTCTTTTAATTCAGACAGAAAATCTCCACTAGGTTGCACCCCTTGAAACAAAATTTACAGAAAGTTATTGTAAAATTGTCATTTTGCCTTGGACACTCCAGCTTCAGAATCTGCTTTTAAAACCCTAACTATTGAACCTTTTGATACCCCAATTTGTGTGAGAATTTGGACTACAATTGTAAAGTGAATGGACAAACCAACCTTTGCAGAGAACCCATATGAACAAAACACACATGTTTTTGCATGGCATTAGACCAAAGGTCAGCAGCTCAAAGCTAACATCAGCACTTCAAATTGGACAAGAACATCATGACACCAAAGGCCTACAAAAGGAAGCAATCATGGATGATTGATGATTTTCCATAAAAAATGGCTTTCCGGTTTTACCTCATCCATGTTCATGTTTTCTTTGCTTTTTCCATCCTTGTGTTAGGGTTAAAGCAAAAACTGCATCATTTGAGTGGATATATGTATATATATGTATATATATATATATATATATATATATACATTGAAACATTCACACATACATGGATTTGAATTTCTTGTCATCAATATTGGTGCTGTAAATTGTTTTATATTGTAAGGTTTGTGTTGTGCCCTTTGAATGAATACCCTCAAATTAGTCTAACTGTTGAAGGTCCAAACAAATTTGATGATTCTGCTATTTATAATGAATAGGGAAATTCAAAACTGCCCATTCTTGTAGCTTGATAATTATAGTCAAGTGGATAAAACAAAATTGTTGTGGAATCAAATCATTTTGTGGGGTTAGGTTGCAGTAGTTTTGCAATATGCAGATCTGCACCACATTGAAGTTTTGAGGTTTTGTGAGCCCAATTAATGCAGTCACACTGTTTTGCAATTGTATATCTTTTTGAAAGAACAGATAATAATTAGAGTGGCTAAACATAGGATTTTATTTCTTTTTCTTCTTCTTCTTTTTTTTCCTTGTCATCTTCTCTTTTCCTCACATCTCTTCTTCTGTCTCAAAAATAGTCAAAAATATATATTTAAAAAGAAAAGAAAAGAAAAGAAAGGCCTTAAGGATTTACTGGAATACATGATGACCTGAATAGATTGCATGTAGAGTGGCAGGAAAAACAATAATCAAGGCATACAAACATAATTTGGCTTGATTAAATTATAGTTAAATATAAAGTAATGAACATATGATTGGATGGGGTTATAGATTCATCACAAGCAAGACGACCGTAGCCAATTATATCCAATCTTGGTGAGTGTTTTTGCATGTGTTGCTTCAAATTATATGCAGTTGTTTTTTCTTTTTCTTTTAACCAACCTTATGTACGTAGTACAAGTAGAGATAGAATATTTAGCTAGTAATGTTATTATTGCATGTTTTCCTGGGTAGAAAACTACATCATTTTTAATTTTTTTCAATGACTCACTTAATTATCTATAACCATCTAAAGGACTTCAAATTCAAACTAAAATTCTAATATGGATTACTCTTAAAGAACTTTTGAATAAATCATTCAAAGTTTCTTTTTATAGGTATTATATATATATATATATATATATATATATATATATATGTTTTTGAAAAAATAAAACAATGGTTAGAATTTAGAAATATAATTTATTAATCTATTTGTATATATACAAAAAAATATTATAATATATTAGAAAAATTTACTATTTGATTGCTAGTTTTGCCTTTATATATTATTTCATAACAATCATTGAAATAAGCCTAATTTTTAAAAAATTGAAATTACAAAAAATTCTATATAACAAATTAATGTAGTAAATCATAGTGCAATACTTTTTCTAGTAAAAAGGACATAAAACATAAATATTATATTAATTAAATCAAAAAAATATAATGCCTTAATATTGTACATACTTCAAAAGAATTGGATGTTATGTTCTTTATTACAATGTTCAAATCTCTCTCCTTTTCTTCATTTCTTAGAAATTCCAATGAATTTATATATCTAGAATCAAAAATAAATTATATAATTATTTTTAGTAGCCAAAATGACACATATTAAGTAAAACTTATTAGGTTTAGAAACATATAGAAAAAATTTAAAAACTTACATAAACAATAATTATTGAAATTAAGATAGATATGCTATAAAAAAAATAACATGGTTGTAAAAATAAATAGACATATGATGTCATAAATAGAATAATGTTAATCTTGACTTTACTTATTTTATTCGATTTTTAATTTTTAAAATATTATATAATAATATTTTTTATAATAAAAAACTAATAATCTATTATTTCTATCATATAACAAAAGACACAATAGATCAAAAAGAAATAGATAAGATTCTTCTATTATTGCCCATGCCACATCTTATACTAAAAATTTGGATTGTAGCCATTAGAAAAAAGAAATCTATATATCTTGGTAAATAATTTAAATGAATAATATTTTTACTAATATTTATAATTTATTTTAATAAAATAATACATTCTATCACATTATATTAGAGATTTAAATAATTATAATAAAATGATTATACTTAAAAATAATATTTATGGTTTAAACCTCAAATATAATATTTTATTAATATAAGATCATAATCTTTGTAGCATAAGTTAAAGAAAAATTTGTAAGATATTTCAATTAGTGCAATGTATTATTCTTTAAAAGTAAATTTTATATACTTAGTTTTGATTATTAAACTATTGATGCACAAATAAATAATAGAGATTATTTTAAAAATAACATTCTTAAAAATAATTAATATAAAAATACGTATTTATAAAATATTCAATAATATTTTTTTAATTATGAATATAAATTTAAATTATATTCTTTTAAAATATTCTAATATTTTATAAAAATAATCAAAACATAATAAATTATAGAGAAGAAAAATTATATGTAAGAGGATTTTAGCATGCATTAAAGCAAAAATAATTATCAATGCTTAAAATTAGACTCAAATAAACTAATTTATTTTCAAAAAGCATCTATGTAACTTTTTTTAGAAGAAAAGATTGTATAAAAGTAAAACATTTTGTTAGAAATGTATACTAAATAAGAAATTTCTTGTTAAACAAACATGCAAGTAAGAAATTTCTTGGCATGATATTATTAATTAAATATTAAGGATCTATGCTAGTACTAAATACTAAAATAGATTTTTCTTTATATTTTAATAAAATTTTATAAAAATTATTATAAAAATTAAATAACCAATTTTTTTTTAAAATAAATAAATAAATTTAAGTTTGATACTAGAAATAAATTATAAGTTTATATAAATAAGTTCATATATATATATTTTTTTAAAATAGATTAAAAATGACCATTTAAAATATGAAATAATAATTATCTCAATTAAAAGTATGGAAAGATAAAAGAAACATTAATTCGATTAATATCTAAATAGAAAATAAAAGAGATATAAATTTTAAAAATAATTTAGAGACTAAAAAAGAATTAAAAAATTATCCATGTAAATTTAAGCTTTAAGATAATATAGGACACTAAATTTGACAAAGTCCAAAAATAAAATAATTATGTAAAAAATATTGAGTTAATTTACTATCTTAGAAAATATTTATCAAAGAATTAATTCTTACTTAAAATCTTTTGTTATATATATATATATATATATATATAAAATAAAGAACTATAATTTTTATTTTTTTATTTTTTATTTTTAATGCTATAAAAATATAGCTAAATAAAATTAAAGACTTAATTAAATAGATATTTGATCTTTTAGAAATTTATGGACAATTTAATCCAAGGATTCTTAAACATAATTAATAGTACTATATAAAAGAAATATTTCTATCAAAAACCACTGGAAATATATATATATATATATATATATATATATATATATTCTATTTTAAATTATAAATCATAAATAACATCTAATATAATATATAAAATT